GGAGTGAGGGGGGAGACAGGGAGGGGGAGTGAGGGGGGAGACAGGAATGGGAGTGAGGGGGGAGACAGGGAGGGAAGTGAGGGGGGAGACAGTGACGAAAAGAGAAAGTGGAAGAGAGGGGAGAGGGAGCGTAGGGGGGCGACGGGTAGAGGGGGAAATGAGAAGAAGGGAGAGCGTCATACCGTATCTATCTATCTATCTCTCTATCTATCTGTCTATCTATCTGTCGATCTCTATATAAGCTCTTCATATTTAAAACGCTATAATATGCATAGCTACGGGATTACTTTTGGCAGCAAGGAAAATGGGGGGGGGGGCAGTTTTATGTGTATGTTGGTTTGTGCCATACTGTTGTAAAATACCAGACAGTGCACTTTGACGTATTTCCGGTTCACTCGAAGGAGCACACCATTCCACCAGAGACCTTGCAATATTAACATTGCTAGGACTCTGATTCCACTCTGTTTGAGCCAATGCCTTCAGGCAAAGAGGGAAAAGTATTGCGAAGACTCGACTAAAGCGAGATTAAAATGTGTGGGTTTTGCCCTTCATTTTAAGTGTAATGGCGCAGTCCACGGGGCGCACACTTCGGAGAGAGGTTGGGTTTTTTGTTTTGTTTGGGCTTTTTTTGTTTTTTGTTGTTGTTGTTGTTGTTGTTGTTGTTGTTTTGAGAGATCGAAGGGCGGTAGCCATGATATTGGACATTCTAAGAATATAATATTATGTCAATGTTTGCGCTTTTTAAATGGATAGTGTTGAGACGATGATCTATTATGATAGCCTCATTTAATATTTGTTTCGTTTAAACATGAGCTACTTCCTGAAGTCCAGGGTTTAGTGATTAGATGCTTGGCTGTCTCTCGGAGAAGACTCAAGTCCGATTCCCAAGTGGGGATAAATTTGTAGGCCTATTGAGTACTTCGGTCTTACTGCTGGGATGTTGTTATCCCTCTCATTCCGGCTTGGCCTTGACAGGCAGGGTCGGATATCGGCCTCTTAAATTATCTTAAATTGTATCGATGAGAGGTGTTAAATGCCTACAATATTTTAAAGACGTGTACATGATGTTATATAATTATAGTATTTGAAAGTCCTTACTTTACAATTGCGTGCGTGGTTAGCGGGTGCTCTGGTGTGGTTTGCTCCTTCTTTCCTATCAAACAACTCTATCGTCCTGATCTCTCCTCCTTTTTTTTTTTGTTACTCTCTTGTAACTCTTCTATTCATCGGCACTGACATGACCTTATTGTGTTGCAAGTGCCGCAAAAACTACTAAAACTTTTATTAAAACCAAACTTTACAGTTACATATTTTTTCACTTAATTTGTTTATTTGTTCCATTCCAGAGGTGGTCCTGACTGCCATGAAGAAGAACGGCAGCTCGATGATGAGGATGGAGAGAATGAGGAAGAAAGACATAAACTTCAAACTCGTCCATCACATCGCCGGGGGTCCTTACAAGGGCATTCTGGTCAACAAACAGGCGGATGGTGGGTGGAGGATGTTGTGTGTGTGTGTGTGTGTGTGTGTGTGCGTGTCTGTATGTGTGTGTGTGTGTGTGTGTGTGTGTGTGTGTGTGTGTGTGTGTGAGAGAGAGAGAGAGAGAGAGAGTGAGAGAGAATCCTTCTTATGCTCATGTCATTACATCCCTCAATATAATCAGTCCTATAACACCCTTCAATATAATATTGTCACATACACATATATGCTTCTCGGGAAGCTGAGAATGTTTCGGAGTGTTCTATGGTCTGCTGGGGTAATAATATAGTGTAAAGCGCATAGAGCCTGCTGTTGAGCGGGGATATGCGCTATACAAATGCTATCTATTATTATCTATTATTTATTATTATAATGTTCTGTGACTTTTGTCCCATACCACCCTCAATGTTTCTCCCATAAAGGCCCCTTATGTTTGTTCCTGTGATATTTGTCTCATAATGCCTCATGGTATTTTCCTATATATTACCACTTGATTTGACATGCTCTGACATACAATTTATCCCATAACAGTTGTGATGTTTGTCCCATCAGTTGTTTTTTTTTGGGGGGGGGGGGGGGGGGGGTTCCATAACCCCCCACCTCGATGTTTGTCCCATAACGTCCTAAATATGTGTCAATCTTTGTTCCCATGGTATGAAAATTTGTCATATATTGATGCCCCATATTTACTCCGCAATACCCTTAGGTGTTTGTCCCATAACAGTTTAGATCTTTGTCGCACGACGTCCTCAATATATTTGTCAATATTTGTTCCCATGATATTAAAATTTGTCCTATAATGCCCCATAGTGTTTACCCCCAAAACGCCCTTAGGTATTTGTCTCATAGCAGTTTTGAGGTTTGTCCATTAACAGTTTTGATGTTTGTCCCATAACAGTTTTGATGTTTGTCCCATAACAGTTTTGATGTTTGTCCCATAACAGTTTTGATGTTTGTCACATAACAGTTTTGATGTTTGTCCCATAACAGTTTTGATGTTTGTCACATAACAGTTTTGATGTTTGTCCCATGACAGTTTTGGTGTTTGTCCCATAATAGATCCCATATAACCCCTTGTGTCCTTCCTCCCCCCCAGCCCTAGTATCTGTGGACCCCCCAGAAGGCCGTGTGGAGTTCATGGCGTACCTCATCAACTCAGACCAGAACAACGCAGCTGTCAAGGTAAGACTAACAGCGGCTGGCCACGAGAACAGTGATTGTCTTAGACAGGTGGTCGGGGGCTCTCGTAGCCTAGAGGTTAAGGTGTTGGCCTCTCATTCAAAGGTCCCGGGTTCGAATCCGGGTAGTGACCGAAAAATTTTCTTCTCTAAATTTGTTTCCTTTCACCTCCTTTCCTGCTCGCTAGCAATGTTCTGCCGTCTGCTTTCGTCTCCTCTTTCTACCCCCACTCCCTCATCTCCTTTGCCCCCCTCCGCTAGGCTCCTGATTCTTTCTACAGCCTTTCTACAGCTACTCCTTGGCTTCTTCTTACTGCTGTCTTTCAGCCACCTCCCCTGATCTTCTGGTAGGAAAGATCTACATCTAGCCTTCTCGGAAAAGGGCGAAAAATCTCGGAGGGCCCGTGTGCAAGTTGCGCAAGTTAAAGATCCTTTGGTGGTCTAAAATCTATAAGAGTAGGCTTCGGCCGCCACCCGGACAAAATTCAAAATTTCCTTCCAACTGAAAAAGTTTAATGTGTCCTGCGCGCTCATATGACCTTATGCAGTTGTGAACGCCGTAAAACACTTACAAAAACAATAAATAGACAGGTGGTCTATTTTGGACAGTGCCATTATTCATGATGTAATATAATAAGAATAATGCAAGTTTGAGTGGAAAATGGTCATTTGTACAATACAAGTGATTGTCCTAGACATGTGGTCATTAGAGCAACTTCCACTGTGTATATATAAAATTATTTTTTGAAAATATAAAAACATATAATTATTTTTCCTCTTGGAATATTTTTGGGGGGTTTTTAACCATGATTGAGGAATATGCCCAGCTAGTCTCTTATCATTATTGTCATCATCATCATCATCATCATCATCATCATCATCATCATCATCATCATCACCACCATTATTATTGTCATTAATAGTAGTAATAGTAGTAGTATGATTGATATTATTTACATTATTGTTATTATTATTATTATTATTGTTGTTGTAGTTGTTGTTGTTATTATTATCATCATCATTATTATTATTGTTATTGTTATTTTTCCGACAGGATCGCTGGACTCTCAGGTTCTGGTTCCGGGGACAGGCTGACGGAGTGACCAAGAAGAAAACGTTCACCGACTATTTCTCCGAGCTGATCAGTCCAAAGTCTTTGCCCAGAAGTCAGTCCAAGAAGCTTTTCTTACATTGTCATTTTTGTTTTCTATTCTCCTTTTCCCTTTAAATTACTCCTTTAGTGCTCCTTTATAGAGGCAATTGCACTGGGATCTGTTGTTTAGGGGTTAAGGGCTTCACTGCCGCATGCATAAGACATGATTCCAGTGTGGGGAAGATTTTCTTGAGTAGGGGCCTACCTTTCATCTGGTTGTGAGGGCACTGTGTACGTCTCAGCTCAGGATGACAGACAGGGTTCAAGAAGTCAGCCTCTTAACTGATTCATCCCGCAGATAATTTTGACTTCAAACTCAAATAATTTGTGACCGCTCCGTGACCTCATGGGTGGTCTCACAAAAAGTTGATAAAGAAATATCTAAATCTTGTAAAAACCCCTATGTGTGGCACATAGAAGTTCAGAATAAAAAATACTATTCAATGACACCAGAGAAACGGGTTGAAATGTAAGTGATATAAGGAAAAAATAAGAGAGAAAAGTGATGTGAAGAAAAGGAGCAATACAAGATCCGCTCTGAGCGACTCTGCATCAAAACACAGGAGACAGTCGGCCGCTGTGAGTGGATGTGCGGGCTGAATCAGTGAATTGATCTAAAATTGTGTCGATGGAGGCATAAAAGATATTATTTTCAAGTACGGTTTCTGTTCTGATTCAATGAGACCTTAGTCTTTGGACTGGTCCTTGTGTTAATGCTGGTTGACTTATTTTGCTACATATTCTGTCTTGTTTGGTTGAGGCATCTGTGCTTACTTTATTATTAGCTCTCTCCCTGTTCTGTTTCATAATTTTAAAGGTTATTGCAATTTCAGTTTTTGTGAAAAGTGTTGGGCAATGCTATTAGGAAGATGTAATTTTTTTTTTAATGACTGAGTCGAGAATATACTGAGAAAGTTCAGCTTGAGATGTAGTTAGATTTTTTCTTTGTACAGTGTCCAGTCGCACAGATCAAAGACACACTAGTCACTAATGTCAAGTCAAATCTTGCAGACTTTTCTCATTGTCTGGTTTCATTGGTGTGTATATATTTGTTTGGTTATAGAGAAAACTCTCCTTGTCTTTTAAAGAAACTGAACAAGGGGCAAAAACTTTACCTTCGATTTTCTCAAAACAGCATTTTTCGGGATAGCCCCTTTGTGCTTAAAGTAAATAAAATGACATGTGTGTTCCGGTCCCACAGAATACGTAGGGTTCATCAAGCGCGCCCTAGTCCTGCTACAAGGCTACAGCCTGGTCAAACGTCTGGAGCTGGAGGTGGAGGAACTGGACGAGGGCGAGGAGGATCTGCCTCCCATCAGTAAGCTAGTTTTTTTTAGTTTTAGTACCAGTTTTATGGCACTTGCAACACAAATAGGTCATATATAAGTGCTGAAGTAAACATGTCTGTTGTGATGGTCCTCAGTTTCATATAAAAACTCTGTGACAACATAATGATAATTATGATGAAAATGATAATGATAGTAGTAGTAGTAGTAGTAATGATAATAATAACGATAATTATATCAATTAGAATTAGAATAATTATGATTACAATAATACTGCGGATAATTCCTACAGTGTCCTCTTCCTTACATTACTGCTCAAAGCATTTCATAATACCTCCATCTTAACACAAAATGCATATGTGCATGTATGTGCATACATACGCTCACTAGATTAAGGCTAACACATAAGCAGACATTCAAACTAGCACAGCACTATTGACGACAATACACATCATATTATGAACATAAGAGTGCCATGGCCAAAATTAGAATGTCGGAGACCTGCCTTTGACCAAACACACAGAATGACATCAGTAATGACGGACAGTTGATTGTGAAAGTGGAGCATTAGAATCTCAGCTCCCTCCTGAGGTGCATGTACTCCTCGGTCGCTCTTAATTAAAAACTCTCGTTACTTGACAGACTTGTAGAATCATTTTTAAGAATGAGATGCTTTCAAAAAATTTTAAGGAAGGTCATATAAAGTACTTTTAAAGCAGATAAAGTTATTGTGATTGGGTCTGAGTCTTTTCCCATTATGTTTTTTATGACATGTTTTAAGTCTTTTTCCATCACATTCGTTCTTGACATGTTTTGAGTCTTTTTCTTCCATGTTTTCACAGAGAGTTTTGTGTCAGTTTTCACCCCTGACAACTACGTCTATCGGTTTGTGCCGGAGGTCGTAGTGGACAACAAAACATTCCTGACCTTCAAGATCAAGGCCAAGTGTGAGGCGAACATCGCTCTTTGTGCTATTTATGGCGACGTGGAGAGGAAAACCTACGAGATCTCCCTGGGTGCGGAGGAGAACAATAAGTCGTTTATCAGAGACGGGTCCTTGGGTCCGGTCAAGTCGGAGGCAAAGACTGTCAACTTGCTCAGTGATGAAGGTCAGGCAGAAGTGAACATTAATTAATTTTTTTTTAATGTACAGTGCAGCCTCTTTATAACGACTTCGTCGGGACCAGAAAAGAATGTCGTTATTTAGAGTTGTCATTACAGAGAGGCAACGAAAAATTGCTAATGATATATGAAGAAAAAATCGGGACCTGGGAATCAGGTCGCTATTCAGAGGAAGTGGTTATATCGAAGGGTGTTATAGAGAGGCTGCGCTGTATGTACAGTGGATTCTGCTTAAAGTGAACATGATAAATCCGAATGCAGGGGTAAACTGAATGAAAATAAGATTCTTGATTTTTTATTCCTTCTATTTGAGCATCCTCTTTATCACTTTGCCGTCATATTTTGGGGAAAATCCAAAGAAACTGGGTGGTAAACAAAATCATAGCCAATTGGCGAGATGAGGTGGCAAAGTGTTAAAAAACACAGCTGAACTGAAGAAAATGAGGTGATCACGCAGATTTTAGACAAATTCGTGGTCTTTTCTGTATGACATAAAGAAATGTGCCGTCGTAAAGACTTGAATATGTTTGAAATTTAGATTATTGTTTCTTCTTTTTTACCGTTGTGTCGTATCAGAAATAAAGTTTCTTTAAATCAGTACTTTTGTATGAAAGTTCAGCATTTACTAACCCTGCATTGTACTGTAAAAGTGTGCCTGACCATTCACCTTCCTTCTGTCTCGTAGAATTTCGCTACTTCTGGTTGTCATGGGCCAACAACCACGTAGAAGTCGGCAGGGGAGCTAAGTACGGTCAGGCCACGTTCCTCAGCTGGACTGTCCCCCCTAACCGACAGTTCAAGGTGAACAGCATGGCGGTGGCGACGTGCCGAGACAGCAAGGGCCAGTGGGAGTTTGCCGAGATATTGGGTCAGTTCTGCCTCTGCTCCTCTCTTTGATAATAATAAATTTATGATAAAGACAATAATGTTGATGACAGTGACAAAAGAAATGATAATAAAAACACACAAAAAAGTAATGATATCATTAATAATAATGATAAAATAAGAATGATAATAATGATAATAATAAAATAATAATAATAACAACAATAATAACAACAATAATAATAATATCAATAATGACAATATGAGTATCTTCACTCATTATCGCAAGTACTCTGTCAGTGATTTTTCTGGAAAAGGAAATGCATGTATCAAAAACTTTTGTCATTAAAATTTTTTAATTTTTTTTTTTGATCAGATGAGAATGAGGAAGAGCAGGGTAAGCAAAGGCATGCTCATCGAAGCATTCTCTTGTGTATATATGTAGATAGAATTTTTTGTTTCTGTAAAATCTGCACGCTCAAACTTGTTGATGATTTCATGTATGTAAATGTTCGACCATGAATATTCCATTGAAGTACTCGTTATGCGCAGAATAGCATGTCAATCTAAATGTCATTAAGCAAAACTATGAATTTGTCAACATAAAAGTAGTAATGTCAATGTTAGCTAGTAGATGCACTGTCCGTGTTAAAATTAAGGTGCACATTTTTGTTGTTGTTGTTGTTTTTGTGGTTGTTTTTGTTGTTATTGTTTGTATCACACATGAACTGTGGTTAGGTTCTTTGCTGTGCCACGAAGAAGACGTGAGTTCGATTACTGAGTGAGACAAATTTTTAATAGAGAGTATCTCAGTCTTTCTTCAAGGATGTTGTATCCCTCGATCTCTGCCATGGCTGCTCCTGACAGGCAGGCAGGGTCGGAAGCTTACCTCGTCAAGTGATCTTAACTGAGTCGATGGGGGCATAAAAACACCTTTATTTGAAAAAAAAATTTTTTTTATCGAAAACACAAGAGTTGTTTCATAGATTTTGTGCATCAACTGAGCGAGTGGAGCTGTAGTGTTCATAATCTGTGTCTGCGCCAACCTGACTGGGAGTCGGAGTTGCCTGCATGTCAACTTCCAGTGGAAATCAGAATCTTTTTGAAAATGTTTTGTATTTTTCTACAGAGCTGTCACAATGCAGCTACAGCCGAACATATGTGTCACAACGCAGTGGAATCAGGCGCTCGTCAATTTTTGGGCATATGGAGTTATTGGTATCATCTTAAAGCTTTTTAGTTTGCCTCGCTTTCAATGAAAAAAATGTCCATTTATCTTGAATAGAAGTCGAGATACCTGAGATTGAAGGAGGTGGGATCGCCCCGTATAAGAAGTAAAATTAGCGAGAAAATGGCAGCCAAAGTTTGGTGACTTTCATAGCTTAAAACTCCTTGGAAAATTCAAATTTACATTTTTGTGCCTTTAATCAACGTTTTTCCTTAAAATAAATAATAAAAGTATTTTTGAATGGACATACAAGGTTTTGTGCCAAAAAAAAAAAATTCGGAAAAAAATTCCAAACTGGCCGAAAAACGCTGATTTCTTGGATTTCATTGTTTTGACGTGCGCCTGATTTCACCACGATGCCTCACATATAATTATTTATGTTTATGTAGCGTCAGCCAGCCTTTAAAATTTTCTAAGCCCAGAATTTTAATTTGTTTAAATTTATTGCAATTTTGTAATCTGTTGTGCTGGTTGCATGTGCTTAAATATTTTGTCAAAATTCAAACTCTAAATGCTGAAAAAAGCATTGGGAAATAAAAGTTACAAAGTTACAATTGTTAAAGGAATAAAACAGGGGTTTTTTTCTCTCTTGTAAAATAATTTGGTTTTCTGGGCTTAGCACATTTTACAAACTTGCTGATGATATATCATTACATGTATAAGTAATCCATGTTAGCGACAACTTTTTTTACCTCTTACTACTTTTCTAGTGAATGCACCATCCTGAATGTTAGTTAAGCAGTTCAATACTCTCTCTCTCTCTCTCCCTCCCTCTCTCTCTCTCTCTCTCTCCCCCCCTCTCCCTCTCTCTCTCTCCCTCTCCCTCTCTCTCTCCCTCACTCTCCCTCTCCCTCTCTCTCTCTCTCCCACTCTCTCTTTCTCCCTCTCCCTTTCTCTCTCTCTCCCACTCTCCCTCTCCCTCTCTCTATCTCTCTCTCTCCCCCCTCCCTCTCCCCCTCTCTCTCTCTCTCTCTCTCTCTCTCTCTCTCCCTCCCCCCCTCCCTCTCTCTCTCTCTCTCTCTCTCTCTCTCTCTCTCTCTCTCTCTCTCTCTCTCTCTCTCTCTCTCTCTCTCTCTCTCTGAGAAACTGTTTTTCACTTCGTTGTTGTCTCATCTTTGTTCAGGTCAGTGTTGTTTGCACACATAGTTTATCTTGATGAGAAGCCTTGTATATATGTGAGGTGTGCTGACAAAATGAGTAACTTCTCGTAATCCACAAATCGATATATTGGCTAAAAATTGACTCTAGAGTTAATTTTGTAGGTTCTCTATTGATACCATATTCTTTTAATGTATCATGCCTTTTATTATTTCATACTTATATATTTTTAAAATTTCAACTATAAGCGTGATGTATCTATTTCCTAAGGGGCTTGAATCCGAGAAGTAACTCATTCTGTCTGACATATGTCAGTGCTGTCAAAAGTCTTTTGCGTCATTTTTTGTTCAGTCCTTCTTCACGTTTTGCTAACATTTTAAAAAGTCTCTAAAATGTTTACACGGTCAATATTAATGCACAGCTTAGTTAATGAGCAATCAGAACTGTCTATAATCTTTAGAGTTTATCGTAGGCCGGCTGTAAAAATAAACTAAGCCCTAATTTATTTTAGTCTTTTACTTTTTGGGGGGGGGGGGGGGGGGGGGGGTTCAAACTTTGGTATCTGTTGCATGTTGTGAAGAAATACTTCGTCAAAATTCAAATTCTATTTTATTGGGGGTTTTTTTAAAATGATGAATAAAGCAAGTGAAAATGCATAATATAAAAAAGGTACAATAATCGTTAGAAGGATGAAACAGTTTTTTTTCTCTCTTCTGGAAAATTCTGTGTTTTGGGTTTAGTTCATTTTAAGGGTTTGCCAAAGTTATGTCTTTCATGTTCAGTGGATCATTTCTTGGACTGCATCTTTTGTGGTAATCTAGAAAATAGTAGGGCTTGATATGTGTATATCCTTTACAGAAAATAGCATTAAGCTTTGTATTCCTAAATGATGTCTGCGTGTGTGTGGAAGATTCCTGAATATTTCATCAGACATTTTCTAATCCTCTTTAGGAATTCTTAAGGACTTGGAAAGTGTTAGACACTCGCAGTATTTCTCACAATCTCTCCAATAGTTGTCTCCTGCAGCTGGACAGAGAGAGAAGACAGAAAATCTTGACAAAATATAATTCCAGTCATTGAATACACTAGGCTGACTCCATTAATTAACACTTTGCCGTCTCATCTTGCCAATGTTTACCACCCACTTTCTTTGGATTTTTTTGCCGTCTCATCTCGCCAATGTTTACCACCCACTTTCTTTGGATTTCCCCCCAAATATGATGGCAAAGTGTTAAACGCTCAGTCGTGTATTGCTAACTTTAGAGTGGAGTACCTTGAGATTTTTGTTGAAAGTAGTGCACCGTTGAGAGTGAGGGAGATGTTCAATCATAGAAAAGCTGTAGAAAAAAAGAGTTCAATCGCTCTGTGTGCAAGAAAACAATCTCAGATTATTTTGTTCTCAAGTTAATACTTCTCTGAGCTAAATGCTGTTGATATGCTGGTGGATAGGTAGATGTGTAGGCATGTTTGAAATGTGAAACTTGTAGTACCTTACGTAGTGTGCATGTGCTGTTTTGTGTAAGAGTTTTGTGAACGCATGTATGATCATGGGAGTGTTTTTACAAAAATGTAAGCCTGTTTGTTGAATTTGATACGTGACTATGAGCGGAATGAATTTTTGAAAGTGGAAATTGGCATTTGAATTTCAGCAAACCAGACACTTTTCAGACACCCTAGTAAAAGGCTTGTCACTTGATCTTTTGCCTTTCTCTTCCAAACTTAATGACTTTGCCAGAGCTTGATGCATTTACTAGTTTTACTGTAAAGAAAAAAACAAAAACTCCAGTGTAATTTCGTTAATTCCTTTTTTTGCGAGATGTGCCAACTAAATGAGTTGATTCTCTGATATTAGCCTTATTGCCACTGATAGATACATGAAATTTGTAGGTTGGATTTGTATACTTTATAGTATGAAATGATAAAAGACATGTATGTACAATTTAAAGAAATTCTTCTTCTTCTTCTTCTTCTATCCCGTGGTTGGGGCAACCGTTGGGACACCACTGCATTGGAAAACCAGCTCTCGCCATGTATTTTTTTCCTCTGCTCTCCTCAGATTGTCACCCATCGTCTTTCCTGTACACTCTGTAATGTTGTCCTCCCATCTCCTTCTCTGCCTTCCTCTCTTTCTCTTTCCTTGTACGGTTCCTTTGCAGGATTGTTTTGGCAAGTCCTGTGGATCTTGTGACATGCCCATACCATTTTAGTTTTCGTCTCTTCACTGTGGTCAGTAGATATTCATATTGCCCCACTGCGTTGGTGATTCTCTTTCGTACTTCAGCATTTGAAACGTGGCATCAGTTTAAAATGTACAAATTTGATGTGTCTGTTTTTGGCTGTCATCTCCTTGCATGGATTGCAAAAAGTGACTTGTTCACGTTTCTGTTCTACTTTCACTATTTGCTGACTTTTAGCCTGGAGCAGGAGATCGATCGATTTCAAGTTTTAGCCTTCTATTCACCTCCAAGGCAGAATCTCAAGATTAGTGTGAGGATGAAATTCTATGCTCCGATTAAGTACCGTTATTCTCATCCCTTTTTTTTAGGTTCCATCTCTAATGCCCTGTCTAATGTTATATATGTTTTAATGCTTTTATGTATAATTCCTTTTTGCTTTTGATATGGCCATTTTATTTAGATTACCTAAATACCTGAGTAGTCAGAGAGTTTGTCCGCATCAAATATATGTTACATTTGTATGTTGTTTTGCTTACCTCAGGCACAACAGCATCTTGGCGTTTCTTAATATCTCATTGAAGACATGCATTCTGGTCATGCGACAATACAAGAAGGTGTTCCGTTTTAGGGATAGCTTCACTTTTCAAACAGATTTTTCTCTTTTGTTTTCTTTATCTGAAACTTTAAAAGGCTTGAAACAGTTTGCATACTATGCGATATGTAAACTTATTTTTCTGATTTGTGTATGATGGTTCAAAATGTGGCGGAATGTTGCTTTTTCTCTGCTGCTAATCGGACATGTGTGTCTGTGGTGTCCTCAAAGAGTTAGCGTACTGCATTTGTCAAATTTTTCTTCACAATTTTACTTTCCAGATGAGAAGGATTTTAAGCGAGAGGCAAAACGGAATAAGATCAAGTTGTCACTTCTGTGGCTGGCCAAGAAACAGCGGATGCTTCAAGTCCTGGAGGATGCTTATCCCAACAGTCTCAGCACCAACAATTTGTTCAAGTAAGACTTGGCCTTCCGGTTAGACTTGATGTCCCAGCTAGTGAGATTTAATCTCCCAATAAGATTTGATCTACCAGTAAGACTTGTTCAAGTACGATTTGATCTCCCAATAACATTTGATCTTCCAGTAAGACTTGTTCAAGTAAGATTTGGTCTACCAGTTAGACTTCATCTGCCAGTAGGCTACGATTTGATATCGCAGCAAGATTTGATTTATAAATAAGATCTGAATAACCAGTAGAACTTCATTTACCAATAAAATTTGATGTATGGATAAGATTTGATCTACCAATAAGATTTGCGTAACCAGTGAGACTTGAATTACCAATAAGATTTGATTGACTAATTAGAATTGAGTTACCAATAAAAATTAAGCTTCCGGTAAGCACGAGTTAGGCATGATTTACCGATAAGATTTGAGCAACTGCTAAAATTTGATTAATCGATGAAGAGTCTAGTTAGCAGTAGGATTTGATTTACCGATAGAGTTGAGTTACCTGCTCATGAAGCTCAGCAGTGTATTCACCACTAGTTTCTGGTTTGTTTTTAGATCGTATTTCTTGAGTTGATGGTTGGGCGGGTGCTCTGGTGTGATTTGCTCCTTCTTTCCAGAAAAAAAGTCAAGATTTTTTATCTTGACAACATCAGTATCTAATTTTTTTTTTAATGAAAAAATAAAATTCTCTTGGAGAAGGGGCATAATTTATCTTGACATGAAGTTTTATTGATGCTCAATTGAAAAGTTTTTAATGAACTTTGCTGATGCTCAATGGACGAAGTTAGATTAATTTTGTTGAGGCTCGTTGGGGGACTTTAGCTGCTCTTTTATTGACACTCTGTGAAGAAATTTAAGATGAATTTTGCTCATGCCCATTGAAAGAATTTGACTCTGTGCATTTTTTGTCACTCTACTGCTTTTTTGTCATTTCTGTTCATAAAGTTCAAAGACAATAATTCTTTAACACTGATGAAATGATTGCAGTATTGAGATTTCCAGGTGGCCTCACTCTCGTTCTTTTCCTCTCAGGAGCTGCAAGATGAAGGCCACGGACAACATCACGGCGGTGGTCATGCTGAAGGATCTGGAGAAGAAAGGGTTGATCCAGGAAGTGGAAAAAGGCATCTGGATGCGCATGCAGACCAAGGAGGAAATGTCTGAACATGGTTTGTTATCTCCTCTTTAGAGTCTCCTTCGTGTGATTGTGTGTGTGTGTGTGTGTGTCTGTGTGTGTCTGTGTATGTGTGTGTATGCCACCACACTTGAAGATGAGATTGAGCATAACTATGCGCTAGTCTTACGACTTGAGGAACTGGGTGTCTTCAGAGGAAGTGGCAGCACCAGCACGGTACAGGGGATGGAACGACGGGATATTAACCAAATGAACACTGGAACGATCAACAGGTGGACTGTGAAGTGGATATTGGAGCGGGGAGCGGAGCACGTATGGCAATGCCCGGAGTGCTATGATGTTGTTCCCAGGATGAAGTAATCAAGTAATCAAGCTCATGTAATCTGAACTGCCTTGAGTTTGATCATTGCATGTGTAATAGCAAACCAGTCTACGATCAGCCAAAGGCAAAATTTTGTTTCAAAACTGTCAGTTCTAACCGAATGAGTAATAATGATGATAATTTATCCTATGTATTTGTATAGCACAAATTCACGCTCAACAGCAAGTTCTATGCGTGCTTTACTATCTCTGTAATACCGCCTGTACACTATTTACGTGGAATGTTAAACTCTCATTTTTCCAGAGGTAATCCTGGTGCAGGAGTTGCCGACCCTGACAGGGCGAGAACAGCCAAGCATCGCGGTCATCACAACTCTGTACCACGAGAAACTGGCCGTGGATGCCATGATAGAGGACAAGAAAACTTACGTCAAGTTCAAAACCGAAGGTGAGATTACGTCCTCTTAGTTTTGTGAGAGTTTTATGGCACATGCGAAACAATCGGATCATATAAGTGTTGATGATTAGAAGTGTTGCTAGAGAGTAACATTCAAAGAAAAGAAGGAGCAGAGATAGAGACGGTAGATGTTTGATTGGAAGGAAAGAGCAGACTACACCAGAAAGCACCCACCAACCACCCACTGTTACATCATTGTGCTTTTTTCTTTATCCTATTCATCAGAATTTTATGGTAAATTTTTGATGTTTTAAGTGCCATCAACACAAATTAGGCCTAGTTCATTTGGTAGAAGGTGACTGCTTCAATTCTGCCTTTCCGGGCCAACCTGGGCTGAGAGGAATACAAGGTTCTAGCAGAAAGACAGCAACACAGTAATGAATGAAAAGTGTAAAGTTTTGTATGAAATCTGTTCAAGCCTGTAATAATCTTGTATTATAGGTGATCTTGCAAAGCCTCCGAATTCGTGCACTCTCAACATAATGGTGAAGCAACTTCTGACCAAATTCACCTTAATTGTTAACAGTTGGGAACAAAGCAAGTGAATAACCTCAAATCTAAACATGATTTGTTTTCCTGGGTCATATCAAATGCTACTGAGAAAGAAATAACTCTTGCCCCCCCCCCAAAAAAATTAGCATTAAAAAAATGGGACTTTTTTTACTAGTTTCAAGGAACTAAAAATATACCAAGCAAAGCCTTTTCTTCTTTTGTTCACAAAATGTGGAAAGCGTAGTTTACAAGCCTTTTGTCTTTGTATTTTAGGTTCGAACATAAGTTTGTTGAAATTGTATATATATAAAGGTCAGTTCCTCAGTGTTCATGAAATTTGCGAGTGTCATTGAAATCAAGATAGTCATTTCGCTTGCATGTGTGAGTGTAGATTATAAACTAGTGATGTTTGTTAGGTTTTGCCTTCAGTGTATGTATGTCTGTTTGTGTCTGTGTGTGTTTTGCTGTGTGTATCATGTGTAAGGTGGGGTTTGTGTGTGTGGGGGGGGGAGGGGGATCGGGATTGACTGTGCTTTCCTTCTCACATAACAAAGTATATTATGCTGTTTGTGTTCCCTGTTTTTTATACTAACATTTCTCTCCACTCTCGCAGCGAGCGGCAGTCATAGTGCTATAGGTATGGCATCAGGTTCTGCTGTTGTAATATCGTAATAAAATCTTCTTCATATGGTGTTTGTCGATCTGTACTACTCTAGCCATGATGTCAAATCGAAGTCAAAGTTTTGCATGCCATATTTTTATCCTTTCTCGGTTGCTTGTTTCTTCTCAGTGTTTCTTGATTGTGCAGAGTATTATGATATAATGTACATGTGCCATTGTGGTGAAATCAGGCACTAGTCAATATAATGAAATCGAAGAAATCAAAATTTGTCCACATGTTTGACAATTTTTATTGATTTTTAAAAAAATTTTATTATCGTTCTTTTTTTTTGGGGGGGGGGGATTTAGCACCTATTGTTTCTACCTAAAAACACATTTATTCTTGGGTTTTACTGACACCTTTTGATCAAGAGCACACTCAAGCTTTGGAAGTCGCCAAACTTTGGCAGCCATTTTCTGGCTAATTTTACCTCTAACACCAGTCCAGGCAACCCCCACATCCTTCAATCACAAACATCTTGACTTCTGTTTTTAAGATAGATGGATGGGTTTTCTTTACTATCAAAAGCAAGAGAAATGAACATGCTTTACAACTATACCAATAACTCAATATGCCCAAAATTTGACGAGTGCCTGATACATATATTGGTGCTGGTTTTAGTTGGATACGGATAAGGTTTAGTTCCACAAATAGATCCCAAGTTATCCCCTGTATCATATTTCCACAATATTGGTATTGAGAGTCCTCACTCATATATATATATATATATATACAGTCAAACCTGTGTAAGACGGTCACCCATTGTCAAGGAGAAAAATGGCCGTATAAGACAGGTGGCCGTCTTAGGCAGGACTGATCAAGAGGAAGAAAACAAACTATTCCCATCTGAGGTCCCAATCGAAAGTAGCCGCATTGTTGATGTTTTTGTTGTTGTTGTGTTTGTTGTTGTAATTGGTTTGTATTTCGTTTGTTAATTTTATTTTGTTGCTGATTTTGCTCAAGGGTGACAATAAAACGAAATGTATCAGACGATAAGACCGAGTGCCATGTTAAAACAAACACATGGGTCGCCACCACTCGGAAAACGAGCGACGCTTCTGTCACAAGTTCATGTTGACGTCCTTTGTTATTTTGTTACAGACTGGGTAAACAGTGACCACTCATCTCACTTACGATTTGTGTATGAGTTATGGGAGGGGCTATGGTTTATGAGGGATCACACGCTTACCTCACCAGCAGCTGAAAATTGGTACCTATTGGTCAACAGTGGGAGGGGCCTACGCAACATGATCGGTTGGAGGGACTACCGAAAAAGTAACATCGACAGGTGATTGAATTATGACGGCTCGCCAACAACGCCAGGGGCCAATGTACAATTTATGACAAAACGTAATGAAGTCACTAAGGTGGCCGTCTAAGACAGGTGGTATTGCTTTGCGTGATAGGGGTTGTGTGTTAAAATATGGTGGCCGCGGCCGCGTTGGACAGGTGCCCGTTTTACACAGTTAAATTATATAGAAAAAACGCAAGGGGGGGAAATGGAAAGTGGCCGTCTGTACAGGTGACCGTCTTATAGAGGTGGCAGTCAGGGCAGGTTTGACTGTGTATATATGTATATATATATATATATATATATATATATATATATACATGAAAATTAAATGCCATATATACATGAAAATTAAATGCCAGTCAATTGGATGTTTTGTCTGTTTGGAAGCCATTAATTAGCCAACACTCTTAGAGCAACAAGAAAGGGAAGTTGAGAGAAGTGATGTATATATATGTACAAATATATAGATGTACATATTGATATATAGAGATGTTTAAAAGTTTTATTGTGTCATTCGCTGTGTCATGTCATAACACAAAATATCTGTTAATTTCTCGAGAGACTTGCAGCTTTTCATCTTGCTGTTCTTTTTATAGTTAGATCTAACTGAATTTTGAGTATTTCTGTACACTGGTAGTACATGTTTTTCTTTGAGTTGATGTTGCTATGCACCATGTTTTTTGGTCTCTTTCGGAAACTTTTTTATTCTGATTTTCTGTTGACTTGTTTGATATCTCTCTTGTACAGTGTTTAGGGTTCTTAGTGTTTACATTATAACATCATTCTTTTATCATGTTTGTGTGGACTTTCATATATTACATTTTGACTGCTCTGTGTCAGACTATCCCCGGGGCAGTGCTACCGACTGAAGTTGTCTTTAGGCCATTCCCAAAGGGGGAACATTGACATGTTCTTATGCTCTGTAGAATTTTAATGGGCTGTTTCATCAATGCCATGCTCATAACTGTGCCTGAACTGCATACGGGGAACTACTGCTTTTTCTTTCCTAAACTTTACTCTCGCCATTTTCCTCTACTTCTTTTGTATGTTTGTAACTCTCTTGTGACCCGCTGTTTCCGGGGTGCCTTGATAGTCGAAGCAGACTTTGTGCTGGTGAAGCTGGAGAGGTAAGCAGAGTAAGCCTGGTTCCCTGTGTGAACTTCTCTGTTTACAACCACCCCTTGGCGCTCGTATGACCTTATGCAGTTGCGAGCGCCGTAAAAACTTCTTTAAAAAAAGTGTCAGACTCTGCCATTTGTCACTTTCCAAAGGGAAAAAAAGTATCCAAATAACAGTTTTTAAACTCATCACATGGTGAAGTCGACACAGCTGAAAAATGTGTGGTGAGTTCACCGGAAAAAACGTATCTAAATAACAGTGAATTCGTCACACCACCTAATTCCTGGTGTGAGCAATGTTCAGCGTTGGTAGGCAAGATATTTCCACTGTACAAATTTTTTAACAGGTTTTATAGATTGCTCCCAAAAATGTGTCCGTTTTCCCTTTAAAATGTTGGAACAGAAAGGCTGTCATGTGTGGATTTTGATTTAATAAACTCTGGTTTTGTATTTTTAAAATATTTTTAATTAAAGGTTGACATGTGTGGGTTTGCTTGCCAATTCACGTTGAACTCACCGCACGTTTTTAACAAGTTTTATGTGACGAGATCACTGGAGGTATGTGACGACTTCACCGTGTGACAAGTGAATTGGAAGCCTCTCCAAAGTGGCGTATAATGGAGTCTTACACTTAACAGTAGTCGATGTGTAGCTTTCCCATTGCAAATTCATGATAATTATTCTCAGATATGCATTTTTTTACTGTGTTGAAAACTCTAGTGTTAGAAAAATGGCAATGATCTGGGTTTCTGTTTGTGGGGCCTCTTTGTATTGCTCTGACTGATTTTGATTCATAAGAAGGAGGCCTTGTTTTATGTTTCCACTTTCCCAAAAATGTAGGATGTTTTACTTCTCTTGTTAATGGTTGTGGCATGTGTTAGTTTTCCTTCCGTTCTTGTCTGACTGAATTTCTCAGAATTGATTTTGTAACTTTGTTGTCACAACTGTATTTTTATCTTTTTGTCCTAATTCTTCCCCCTTTTTTTGTATCAAGATTACTAGATCTAATTATCTCTGTCTTCAATTTTTTTTTTTTTTTAGCTTTTAGCTCTATGGGGGCTTGTGAACTGTCTAGATGATTAGTAAATGTATATGTATGTATATAAATATATATTATATATTTTTTAGGGTTTTTTTCAGGAATGTTATAGCTCCTTCATATCTTTATTACAAAGAATGGTGTGGGATTATTTTTGTAGTCACCAACATTTAAAGATCCTTTCAAATAGATAAAATGCTCTTGACTGAGCAATAAGTGCTTTGAATTAACTTATTTATTGACTATTTCATTATGTGTTACAAGTCTTATTGTGCGCTCATCTTTATTTATTTGTTAGAATAAAGATGGACAAAGATGCCTTCACATTAATTAATTCTGTGGAAAGTTTGCATGCCTCTTACTCTACAAGATGAACTTTCTGTATCTACTATGATGGTTGTTTAACACTTACCTCATAAATATCTTTGTGATCTCTTTGTGGTAATGCATTGGCAAAAATGTTTTTGGCTAGAGACCTCATCACTAACAACTAGATCTATTCAGTTAAGGCGCTAATATAAAAAGGCAAAAACACTCTACATAGCTTTTTATAATTTTTCAAACACCCAATGCAGTTTTAACTGTGTAGACTTTTTAAACAATTTGCTAATCTTATTCTCTCCGAACTTGGGGAAGAAATATTTTTAGTTTTTTAAAAAGTTTTATTAAAAGTTTTACAGCACTTGCAACATAACGTCACATAAATGCAGAAGATCTGAGGTGTTGCTAAAGACTAACAGACAAATAAACGAAAGAGGAGCGATAAGAATAGCAGCTGTTATTTGATAAAAAGAAGTAGCAAACCACACCAGAGTACCCACCAACCAACCACAAGAAATGTTTGACTGATAGATGTTTGACTAATGAACAATAAATAATAATGAAGAAATGAGGTTCCTTTGTCGTATTCCTTTCTCTATTTTGCCCTGTTTGTTTGTGTTTCAGGAGAGTCTCAGGTGTACACAATCGGCAGAATCGGAAAGCACAACATCGTCTCCACAAAACTTGCCAAAATGGGAGACGCAGAAGGCGACATGATCGCTGCGGAGAACACCGTGACCAGGTTACTGGGTGAGTTGTTGTTCTCTTCCTCCTGACAGGTGATTGTGTGAATATTTGTTTGTTTCGTTTGTTGTTGGGTTTTTTTTGTTGTTTTTTTTTGTTCCTCATGTGTTTTCACTTGTCTTCGCAGTGGCCTGCAGCATTTCACATTCCCATTTAGAATCATGTTACATGCTGTGAATAGAAGTATGAAATATCTATCAATTTCATGTTTACTTAATAAGTATGTGTAAAGTAGCTAGCAATCTCTAGAATCATGCCTCACACTGTGAAATGATGTATAAAGTACCCTAACCAGTGATCTTTAGAATCGTGCAGCACACTATTTAAGGATAGATAAAGTTTTACATGGGAGTTGAACAATAGTAAAACTCAATGGGCTTCAAATTCAAGGTCACACAACAGTCATGTTTCATAGTGAGAAAAGATTATCAGTGACTACCATATAATCAATTTTTATTCTTTTTAACTCCAAAAGGTTTTGTGTAATTTAATTTATTCAAATTGTTTTCATGCAAAAAGTTTTAACTCTTTATCTCTGTGGGGATAAACCCACTATGCTGGGGCCCTATTGTGGTATGAAATCTAAAATTGACATCTATGTCACTAAAGCGGTCATTAAATCAAAACAAGTGAATGTATTTTTGATAGTTCTTCATAGGAATGATATCCCATATGTAAAAGAGACTTGTTTTTGGCAATTGCCAAAAAATAATTTGACATCAAAATCGTCGTAAAGGAATGCGCCCGAGCCACTGCCAGCGACTCACCGGCACAGCGATTCGGACTGAGAACTGCTGGGAGGTGCTTGACAAAGATGAAGAGTTAGTGTCATATCTGTGTCTTCCAGTTCTATTATTTTATTGCTCAGCATTGTCTAGCTTCTGTTGCTGCTTACGATGTTCCCAAGCAAAATGTCTGATGTTTTTGATCATGGAACTAATAGCCTACATTTATCCGTGGTTTTGTCTTAGGCACATTCAACAAAGTGCAGCACATCCTGATGGTGGGTGTTGGAGGGGCAGTCCCCAGCTACTCAGACCACCAGGAACACGTCAGACTGGGGGACGTTGTCGTGTCAACCCCGGCTGACGACACTGGCGCTGTCTATGTCTATTGCTCTAAGGTAAGGAAGATAAAGTGGCGCTGTCTATGTCTATTGTTCCAAGGTAAGGAAGATAAACGTGGCGCTGTCTATGTCTATTGTTCCAAGGTAAGGAAGATAAACGTGGCGCTGTCTATGTCTATTGTTCTAAGGTAATGGAGATAAACGTGGCGCTGTCTATGTCTATTGCTCTAAGGTAAGGGAGATCAAGTGGCTCTGTCTATGTCTATTGCTCTAAGGTAAGGGAGATCAAGTGGCTCTGTCTATGTCTATTGCTCTAAGGTAAGGGAGATAAAGTGGCGCTGTCTATGTCTATTGCTCTAAGGTAAGGGAGATAAAGTGGCGCTGTCTATGTCTATTGCTCTAAGGTAAGGGAGATAAAGTGGCGCTGTCTATGTCTATTGCTCTAAGGTCATCATCATCATCCAGTGCCAGATCTGCGACCGACATCGGCGATCATGGTTTTCCATTCATTCCTTTGCTCGGATGCTCTCAAAAAAACTACGTTTCCATGATCTTTCCCTGTTACCCATTTGTTTAGGTTCCCTAAGTATGTTGTTCTGGGCCTACGCCTGCCTCGTCACTTTTCAAAATGTGTGTAGCAGAGACTTACACTAGCCTATTGATTTTTTCCATCATTCTTTTGTTTTCCACTCCTGTCAGTTTTTTCTCTCTCTCATTTTAATCTATCGATAATGTCTCGTGTGTAAGATTTAACTGCTCTAAGGTAAGGGAGATAAAGTGGCGCTGTCTGTGTCTATTGCTCGAAGGTAAGGGAGACATAGATCTAGTCAAAAGTTGGGACTTTTGTTGAGACTGCTCAGAGTAAGACTCCGCCGAACGTCACTTTTCAAAATGGCGTCGTATAGCGGAGACTTACATTAACCTATTGATTTTGTTTCTATGATCCTTTCATTTTTCACCCTTGTCAGTTTTTTCTCTCTCTCATTTTAATCTAAATAAATCCGATAAGGTCTCATGTTTACTGAGTAAAGAGCGTGGTGACTCAAACTGTCCTGTTTTAATCGTTAGTAAGAATTTAACTGCTACTGCAGCTCTGTGGTGAGCTGTTGGAAGCAGTTAGTTTGATGTTTGGAATCTTCCTAAGGTGATTTCTAGTATTGATCTCCAGAAACATTTTAGATGTTCAGAAGAAAGTTTTATCACATTATCTCATCAATTTTGGATGTAACTGCATAGAGCTAATGCTTACAAATGTTATTTTATTCTCCTCTTTGCTTACTGAACTCTGACATTTCAGGTGGAGAAAATAAAGAATGCAACAGGCTACAGCTACGTGACTAGAATCTTCTCACCACGAGAGCAGGTGTTGCTCAATGCTGTCAACAAAATTAGAAGACAGGTTGGTCAATAATTTACAGAACATTGAAAATTATTGGTGCTTCTATGTTGTTTTGGTGGCGGGGTGGGGTGGGGTGGTGGGGGGTTGCAATACGGGGGAAATTACATTGCAGACAATGACTTACATGGATAAAATTTTTCTTTCATGCAAAGGCGAAAGCACAGACTATTTCTCGGAAGTTTTTTCATTACTTTTGTTGTCTGGAAGTAACAATGACTTCTTATATAATATATATACAGGTTTTTCCAAGAATGTTATTTCTTTATAGGATATATCACTAACAATGAATAATAAATAGAATTTATGTAGTGCAAATTTTCGCTCAACAGCAAGTTCATGTGCTTTACAATCTATATATATATATATATATACAGTATTCCAGTAGATCTGATAGTATTCTGAAATGATTTCAATTTCCTGGGAAGCATTCAGTACAGTGTAAGCTACCATTTTGCAGATGCTAAAGTACTGACATACTGACAAGATCTTTAGTTGTCTATGGGTGGTACCCATTCACACCTGGGTGAAGTAAAAAAAACATTTTTGTAAAATGCCTTTCCCAAGTACACAATGTTGATCGATCTGTGGCTCAACCCTGGTTGAGTCTGGTGGTAGTGTAAACACTAGACTACAGGCAACATTATGGAAAAACACAATTTTCAATGCATGTTTTATTTGAGAAGTGATGTTAATCATACTTTAAGAAATTCTATTCCAATGCCCTCTGGCCAAAGGGCTTGAACTCAGATTCAGAAAAATGAGTTTCCAATGCCTTATACGGGGTGACCATTATGGATGGGATCGGCGGATCAGGCCGATCGCACGACTCGGTCGCCTAAAAAACAAATGTGTTCGGTTTCAGTTTCAGGCGACCGAGTCAAGCGATCGGCCTGATCCAGCCGTATTACTGTATTACTGTATTACTGTACTGAGCCCTCGGTCATTTACCTACTGTGTATAAATCTGCTGTGTTCTTAGGCAGAGTCCAGCATATTGCCTGAGCGGCCGTGGGAGAGACACATTGAGCTGGGGAAAGACATCCTGAGAGGACAAGAGTCCAACTTCCATCGGCCCATGATCAAACGAGACAAACTTTTCTTCACCAAACCAGACGGGTCGGTCATTCAAGTGGAGCATCCAAGACCTACTGGTTACGCTGCGCGGAATTACAAAGAAGGGCAGACAAATGTGAAGTACGTGACAAGTGAAGAGTGTTTTACATATCCCCCCTCCCCCACCACCCAGTGACACTAATTATCGTTGCCTAGCTGTTTGTGTTCCCAGATACAAAATATAACAAGTATATAAAAAGAGATAGACCTAATTATTTTTTGGGGTAATGTTTTTTACTGTTCTTATAAATAACTGAAGTACTTGTGTCCCCAGATCCAAATGTTTTTAAAAATCTAGCTCAGAAACCAAATCCATACAAAAAGACAGTTGTTTTTTTTTGTAATGTTTTTATTATTCCTCTAAATAAAAATTGATCTCTTTATGTCCCCAGATATGGAGTGATAGGATGTGGTCAGAGGGTGGCGCGCGCCGATCCGCTGCGGAGAGATTTTGCCCAGATGAATGGGATCAAAGCCTTCCATCAGGAACATGACGCTGTGTTGGAGTCTGTGGAGGGGAACTGTTGTGAGAGCTATCTGGTTATCCTGGGTGAGTAGAAGAATTTGTGTGAGATATGTGGTTATCCTGGGTGAGTAGAAGAACTGCTGTGAGAGGTATCTGGTTATCCTGGGTGAGTAGAAGAACTGCTGTGAGAGGTATCTGGTTATCCTGGGTGAGTAGAAGAACTGCTGTGAGAGGTATCTGGTTATCCTGGGTGAGTAGAAGAACTGCTGTGAGAGGTATCTGGTTATCCTGGGTGAGTAGAAGAACTGCTGTGAGAGGTATCTGGTTATCCTGGGTGAGTAGAAGAACTGCTGTGAGAGGTATCTGGTTATCCTGGGTGAGTAGAAGAACTGCTGTGAGAGGTATCTGGTTATCCTGGGTGAGTAAAAAGTGGTGTGAAAGATATCTGGAATAGTAGAAGAACTTGTGAAAGAAATGTGGTTATCCTGGGTGAGTAGAAGAACTTGTGAGATGTTTGTGGTTATCCTGGGTGAGTTGAACTTGTTATGAAAGTTATCCCTTTATCCTGGGTGAGTAGAAAGTGTTGTAAAAGATATATGGGTGAGAAGAGGAACTTGTAAAAGATATGTGGTTATCCTGGGTGAGTAGAAAGTGTTGTGGGAGATATGTGGTTATCCTGGGTGAGTAGAAAAACCTCTCTGAGAGGTATCTGGTTATCCTGGTGAGTAGGAGAATTATTGTGAGAGATATTCTGGCTGAACAGAAGAACTTGTGAGAGATATGTGGTTATCCTGGGTGAGAAGAACTTGTTGTGGAAGATATCTGGTTATCCTGGGTGAGTAGGAGAACTATTGTGAGAGATATGTGGTTATCCTGGGTGAGTAGAAGAACTTGTGAGAAACGTGTGATTATCCTGGGTGAGTAGAAGAACTGTTGTGAAAGATATTATGTGGTTATCCTGGGTGAGCAGAAAGTGGTGTGAAATATATCTGGGTGAGTAGGAGAACTATTGTGAGAGATATGTGGTTATCCTGGGTGAGTAGGAGAATTGTTGTGAGAGATATCTGAGTTAGTAGAAGAACTGCTGTGAGAGGTAACTGGTCATCCTGGGTGAGTAGAACGTGTTGTGAGAGATATGTGGTTATATTCTGGGTGAGTAGAGGAACTGATGTGGAATATATGTGGTTGTCCTGGGTGAGTAGAAAGTGTTGCGAGAGATATGTGGTTATTCTGGGTGAGTTCATTTTGCTGATGTACTAATCCATCGAAAGAGCTTTAGAGTTGGCCTACCATAGAAAACTGCATCTCCCCTGGACTCTTACACAGGCAACAGAGGATGAAAAAGTAAAAAGTAAAAAAAGTAAATTAAAATATTATAATCCTTTGTGAACCCAGATGTGAAACATCTGTTTGCCATTAACACTAAGTATTTGTCTTAGTTATTTACTGTTATGTGATTGTCAGAGCTTTCCCTACAAGTTCATTTTACTTGCTCTTCATTTTTGTAAACATAATGTCAGTTTGGTGGGGGTGGGGGGTGGGGGAGGGGTTTCCTCTTATTGTGGCTGTAGGCCTACTAGCAGTCTTTATGATTTTGATCAAAAACCATTTTGATTTTGTTTTTTTATTTTTTTCTCATTTTCATACATGTGTTTTTACGGTCCTGTAGTTCAACCAAGAAAGATTTCCCTCTAGAACAATAACGTATTATCTTATTATTTCTTTTCTATAAAAATCTGATCAAATTTAAAATTTTGAAAGTTTGAAGTAGATCTAGCAAGAAATTTCTTTGAAAAGTATTGAATGGATTTAGATAAATTTTGCTTATTTAAGTCTCCATGTTATTTGTACTGTTACTATTTCATTTTAAATTGAAATTTATTGTCATGATTTCAGTACCTTTGGGTTGGGGGTTTTTTTTCAGTTTTAAGGCAATTTTCGTAAATTTCTCTCTCTTCAGGCATGTGCGATTACGAGGACGGATTCAAGAAAGAATGGCGGAGTTACGCAGCTTTGGCAGCAGCGGCCTATATGAAGGCACTGGTGTTACAGCTGTAGTCATCTGCTGGATCATTCGTCTCATTTGTGTCACGACGTGGTGGAATCAGGCGCTCGTCAATTTTGGGCATATGGGGTTAATGGTATCGTCTTAAAGCCTGCTCGTTTGCCTTCTTTTTGGTGAAAAAAATACCCATCTATGTTGAATAGAAATTAAAATATTTGGGATTGCAGGAGGTCAGCGTTGCCTCGTTTCAGGGGTAAAATTAGAGAGAAAATGGCTGCCAACGTTTGGTAATTACTTCCATAGCCTGAGTCTTTGGCAACTGAAAATTTACATATTTTGTGCCTTTAACCAGTGGTTTTCAGTAAAAATCCACACAGAAATGTGTCTTTAAATGGACATAAAAGGTTTTGAACCAAAATAAGAAAATTATTTTAAAATTGCCCAACCTAAAACAAAAAGCCGATTTCTTTGATTTCATTATTTTGACGAGCGCCTGATTTCACCACGATGCCTCACGTTTCTCATGGTGTCTCTTTTTCTCTCCACTAAGAGCTGTCAAACTTTGTACATTCTCTTCTAAATTAATCTATTCTCCAATTCTGAAAGGCTTGTTGCCTTCAGCTGTTGACTGAATAATGACCAATCTGTTCCTTTGCATTTTTTTCTGTTTGGGTGAATGAAAATATATGTTACTATGTGAAAGGCAAAATATAAGGGTTTATTGTGTGTTATGCATAGCTAGTGAAATTGAGTGATTTGTCTACTAGTGAAATTGAGTTGTTTGTCCACACTTGAGAGTTTGGAGATTCTGATCCAAATAGTCAGCTCTTGGCAAATGTTTAATGTGTTTAAGAAAATCTATAAATAGTGTGTTGAGCCAGATATAATACAAATAAACACCAAGAATTTTTATACAAGACTTTTACCATTTTTTAGATTAAAGGGTTGTCATTAACAATGTAATAATTTTTTAAAATATTTTACTATATAAAAAGAAGGGCTTTAATAAAGTCTCATGTTTTAATTATACAGAAAAGCGACAGATGAAAGAGTATATTAGATAATGTTTTTTAATCACTTTTCTTTTATCTATCACTTCAACTCAAAAGGCCTCTGGAACTGACTTTGGTGGTTTTCTCCTGATTTCAACTTTCACAGAGTGTGTCTACGTTATGGTAGAAATATCTGATGTGTTGTGGAAGTGAGGGTCAATAACATTAAATTTCATAATTATAAGCGCTGATGTTCATTCATCTTCGACAAGGCAATAGATAGATCATGATGTATGTTGTTGTCCAATATTTCTTCAGAGCAGCTAAACAAGACATTGATGTAATATTTGAATAAGCAATGTTCCTCAACAAACAGACAAGTGTTTGTTATTTGGAGACATTAAGAAATTTTGTTTTAGTGAAATAGCAATAACATGCAACATCATTGTTTAGAAGTTCTGTTTTACTTCCATTTCATATAATATAATACGAGTTCATAGCTTTCATTTTTTGCTTTCGGAATGTAGACTGTGAAATTTGCAATTTACCCAGAAAGATCTCGTTGTCGTACACTATGGAAAGAAGGAGGCCTGCCACAAAAATTCTTTGCCAGCTCATGTCGAGCAAAGTGATTCAGTGTATAGAACTGAAAATGAAGATTAAAACTGCATTCATTGTGCATGTTATATTATGATGTGCCTTGTTATGTGTGGAATTACCAGTTACATGCTCTTGATTATGAAGATGGTTTCATTTGAAAGTTACCCACACTCTCTTAAGATCTTTTTTTGTTCAGAGAATCTTTTTGACCTGTTCAAAGACTGGGTCAATCAAAGTTATTTAATATTGCTGGATGCTTTTTCTAACCATGTTGTTAGAGAATGTTGAGATTACAGTTTTAAAGAACTACTGGTTTTGTTAGAACTTTTTTCAGTTTCAATGTTAGGAGTAGATAAACTGATGGGGATTTTTCTAATCTTTCAATTTTTCATCTACCGCATGAGTGTAAAAGAAAATTGAGGCAAGAGAGAGAGACAGAGAGAGAGAGAGAGAGAGAGAGAGAAATGGTGAAAGAGAGAGAGAGAGAGAGAGATGATCAGGTAATTTTTCGCCTTCAACATCTCCTGAATGTGTGCACTTTAATCTTATCTGTACGTCGTGTTTTACTATCGTATCCATACGACATGGGGAACTCTGTGCCACCACTTTCCAAAGAGGAAATTTACTCGTTGATCCAAAGCGTACGCTTTGCATAGCATTCTGTCAAAATGATTTTTTGAGAAATACTTAAAGTTTCAAAGAGATCTTCGTACTAGAAGTATTCTAAAATGTGAAGAATACTACCTCGGGGGTACAAAATGATCCCAGGGCGTACGGATAGGGTTAAGTTGAAGAATGAAGAGAATTCAACCAAGAATCGAACTGTCGGAGCCCCTTGGAAACTGCATTGGCCACCTATGATTGTCTGACATGGATGAGCTATAGGCCTACACCAGTCAATTCTCAGCAAAGGTTGCATATCAGCAATGATAGTACATAACAAGATGGGCCACTTCTCTCTTTGAGCCAATTAAAAAAGTGTCCTCAAAATTTGGTGGCGCCCTCTTCACAAAAGCGCACTTTGCGAACAGAGTTACCCTACTTGAGTTTTAAAAAATCAAAGTGAAACTAGCATGTTTTGGGATAAATTTCGGAAGAACGCTTTTTTAAAATGGTTACGCTGACAAAAAACCTTTTCCGGAGGAAAGGGTGATGGTTTTCTTCGTTTAATTTGACTTTAGAATGAAAGGCGAGAGGTCATTAAAATAAAAAAAACCCTAAAACTACGCACTGAACGTACCCGAACTGCTGATGAACAGCAGTCGATCTGCGCACGCAATGAGGTGCTATTCCTATTCTTCTTCTGGAAAAACGAAAGAGAGCTTCAAAACAGACCGCAGCGCCATCTGAAGCAAAGAGCATACTTCCTGCGGACACTTTTTTGGCTGAGTGAACCATCTTGTTATGTACTATCATTGGTATCAGTTTCCTGTCTACTGCTGTTAAAGAGTAGCCTAGATATTTGACTCTAACCTTTCAAAGTACATAATAATATTCTATGGATCACCATGTGAGATTGTCTCAAAATTATATAAATACTTCAGTTTTTTTTACAGTCTTGTAGGACCTGTGCAATGATCTCAAGTGTATGGTATTCAGTTGCTTTGTGTGTGTATGTATGTGTGTGTAAGTATGTGTGCTGTGCGTGGGTGTATGTGATGTGTAAATGTGAATAGGGGAGATTCACAAAAACGTTTTCTACTTTTCTAATAGCTCTTTTTATTGCCTGACTTTGCTTTGAGAAGTTTCTCCATGCTGTTGGAAAGAATGTATAGTTTATTTCAGCAATGATTCTGTCTGTTGTGTTTTGCGATTGTGTTTTTATCTGTTTTTAAATACTGTGTTCAGTCATTCCATGAGATTTGAGAACAATTTTATGTTATGTAGCTCCGCCATTTTCTGGTGAAATTTGAGTTTTATTATGGCACCATGAACTATTGTCTTGTGGTATTCACTCACAGTGTCTCAGACAGGTTTTCCTGCATTGGGTCTGGTCGTACCAGAATCTATGATTTTAAAACATTTCTTTTCCAGTACAAGACTTTAACACGTGGGGGCAGCTTAGTACCACTGATCTGTTTCAATTTTGTTTAAGAATATGGAAAGATCATGCAGGGCCACAGCATGTTTATGCAATGAAATTTACTAAGGAGTCTTGAGAACAGGTTTATATTATGTTACCAAGAATACCCATTGGAACCCTTCCATTATGCTCTTTACATTGTACATGTACTATTGTTTGCAGTTTCTGTTCGTAACCTCTGCGTTTCTTCTTGTAGTTAAAGTTTTCTGTACCAGTGGACTCTGTCTAGTATTTGTATTGGTGGATGTGTGTGTCATTCAAGGTGCTACTCCTGAGAATATGTACATAGTAAAACCCTATTGTATTCATCCCTGCAGAGCTATATTTTTGACACGCTTTTAATTTATCTTTTGACTGTCTAACCTAAACCTGTTTCTGTTATAATGACAATTAATGTAAGTATATTATATATTTAAAAGATGCTGGGGGTTTTCTTTGTTGTTGCAATAATGATCTCCTCTTGCCTCCTTTTCCTTGTTCTGTAAAATTTCCCTGTTAAACATTCTCTTTACTAAATGAATCTCTTCCTCATTAAAATAAAATTCCCATTAAATTTCCTTTTTTGGATATCTGGGGCAATAGCTATAATACTTTAATTATATTGTTCATTATTAAAGCTGTGTATAATTTTTGTGATTCCGTGTGTTACATGTAGTCAATTTGCTGTTGTTGAATTGATCTGATTTTTCTAAGGGTTTTTCGTTTGTGTTATTATGTTTATTGTTTTTTCGTCTTGCTACAGCCTAGGCAGATAACTTTATTTGTTGTTTTAGCTTCTCGCTATAGCCCTAGGCAGATTATTTTGTTTGTGTTCTTGACAAATTTACTCTCACAGTGTGAAAGAAAAATAAAGATGACCTCTTTAACGTCTGACTGCGACTTGAAAAAGTGGACTTTGTTGTCGTCTTATTTCGTTTGAGTTTATTTGAATTGCAATCAATCATGTAAAGACATCGAGGCTGTCTACATCTGGATCTATTATGTCTTGAGACACGGCCGGAATTGTTGACCTATGAGAAGCACAGACTAGGGGTTTCTTGTATCGGAGGGTGTTATTATTTCGCTATCATAGATATTACAAAGTTCTATCTGCTTGGTGCCTACGTACTTTTGAGAAATTTTGAGTTTCACAATATCAGCTTTTTAGAATGCTATTTTCTTTGAACATCTTGATACATGTAAGGACTTCGAATAATCGTTCAATTTTGACAGAGTAGATTGAGCACTTGATTTCTGACCTCAAGGTCTTAGTAACTCAAAACGGCCAAAAGTGTCAGATAGCACTTTGTAATTCTAAGCGTAGCGATTTTGGCTCCCACCATCATAATATACATATATTATCCTCCTATGTTAACCGTGGGGATACCGTGGATTCCCCGACACTCAACTCTAGCACACCTAGAAATGATGTAGTGGACACACTTGCCAGAAGGGGTCTTGACAGGATGAACAGTAGTGCAACACTTCTACTCACCATGCACTGCAAAGCAAAAAATCAAAAGTAACTACAAACAAGATTGTATGAACACAAGTGGGCCTTTGAGAAGACAAACAAAGCCGTTTTCAAATATAGATTGTGTCACAACGCGATGGAATCGGGCTCACTTCAACTTTTGGGCATATTATAAAATTAAGTTTTTGGTATAATCTCAAAACTTGTTTATTGGTCTTGCTTTTCATGAAGAAAATACCCGTCTACATTTAATAAAAGTTGAGATGCCTGTAACTGAAGGAGGTGGGTCGCTTGGTGTCGGAGGCAAAATTAGCCAGTTTGTTGACTTCCAGAGCTTAAATGTTTTTGAAAACTGCAAACTTCCATTTTTTTTTGCCTTTGATCAACATTTTTCAGTAAAATTGACTCAGAAATAATTTTTTAATGAACATGGCTTTGAGCCAGAAAAACAAATTCTATAAAAATTGCCTAATGTGCGAAAAAAATGTCCGTTTCTTCTTTATTTTGACGAGTAGCTGATTTCACCACAATGCCACACATGATTAATAAATTTATTCTGCAAAACGGAATTGATAATAATATCATTAACTTTCAGAGAGAGAGGAACGGACCAGGATCATCCGTCTGCAAACAAAACATGCACAGCTCAATTTTCCCTTAAATAAAAAAAAATAATAATAAATAAACAGAACTTCTCCCTGTGTTCTTCGGATGACTACAGTGTGATTGGCCTCCTACTGTATTGTTATAAGACTAAGCTCAGCACTTGTCCTATTGTAGAGCCCCAAAAGAGTTATATTATCTGAGCTATACACTTCTTCCTCTGAGACCTGACATTGACAACTACTTAGGCCTACTCGTTGAAACATCAGTCACAGCAAGTGCGGCAAACTTGCACTCTCATCACGATGGCATTGAACAGAAGAGTGAGAACGTATAGCTTTTGCCGGATCAATAACAACAACTATAATTTCAAAGTTTGTTATGATTAGCCTTTGCCCCCCCCCCCCCCCATATATATAAAAAATTTAAAATAAAATAAAATAAGATAAAATAAAATATATATATTTTTTAATTTTAAAAAAGTTAATAAATAAATCATCATAACAATCTTTATCAATTGGATATTTAAAAATTGACCTATGTGAAAAGTGAATAATAACTCTTTTTGGTTGACTCAGCCTCAGCCTATTGACAGAAATCATGCAATGTTTAACACATATATAAATGTATGTGCACAACCTGAACTACATGTACAGTCGAACCTGTGTAAGACGGCCACCCATTGTCAAGGAGAAAAGTGGCCTTATAAGACAGGTGGCCGTCTTAGGCAGGACTGATCAAGATGAAGAAAACAAACCATTCCCATCTGAGGTCCCACCCGAAGGTAGCCGCATTGTTGTTGTTGTTGTTATGTTGTTGTTGTTGTTGTTGTTGTTTTCGCTGGGGGGTTTTCTTCTCTTTTTTTCTTTTGTTGCTGCTTTTGTACAAGGGTGACAATAAAACGAAATGTGTGAGACAAGGAGGACCGGGTGCTATGATAAAACAAAAACACGCGTCGCTACCGTTCGGAGAACGAGCGACGCTTCTGTCACAAGTTCAGGTTGACGTCCTTTGTTACTTTGTTACAGACTGGGTAAACAGTGACCAAGCATCTCACTTACGATTTGTGTGTATGAATTCTGAGCGGGGCTTATAGGTTATGAGCACAGAATTCTACACTAAGTGTAGAATTCTGTGGTTATGAGAGATCACATACCTCACCAGCAGCTGAAAATTAATTTTGTTACCTATTGGTCAACAGTGGGAGGGGCCTACGCAACATGATCGGTTGGAGGGACTACCTAACAACAACGGCAGGTGATTTGATTATGACGGCTCGCCCACAACGCAAGAGCCCAATGCTTGATTTACGACAAAACGTAAAGGAGTCACTAAGGTGGCCGTCTTAGACAGGTGTATTTGCTTTGTGTGATAGGGTTTGTGTGTTAAAATATGGTGGCCGCGGCCGCGTTGGACAGGTACCCGTTTTACACAGTTAAATTATATAGAAAAAACGCAAGGGGGGAAATGGAAAGTGTCCTTGTACAGGTGGCCGTCTTATAGAGGTGGCCGTCAGGGCAGGTTCGACTGTATTTCATTATAATGTCTTAGTGTAAGTATATTATAATATCTAGCCTTCTTGGATAAGAGCTAAATACACCTCGGATAGGTCCCGTGTGCAAGTCGACGTGGTCTTAGAATTGATAAGAGCAGGCTTCGCCGCCACCTGGGCACAATTTAAAATTATTTCCTACCAAACTGAAGATAATGTTAGGTCCCGCGCGCTCATACAATCTTATAATTAATAACATATATACATTTATGCAGTTGCAAGCGGGCTATCGTGGCCTATATATAGAGGTTAAGTTCTTCACCTCTCATTCAAAGGTCCCGGGTTCGAATCCAGGGTGATGGGAAAAAAATTTCTCTATGAAATTGTCTCCTTTCACCTCCTTTCCTGCTCTTTCGCTATATTATTCTGTCGTCCGCTTTCATCTCCACCTTATGCCCCCTCCCCTTCCCCTCTGGGCTCCCCTGACTTTATATAGCCGTTCCTCGGCTTCTCCTTGGCTCGATCCTTCTATTACTGCTGTCTTTCAGCCACACCCCTATCTTCTGGTAGGGAAGATCTACACCTAGCCTTTTCGGACAAGGGCAAAAAATCTCGGAGGTCTCGTTTGCAAGTTGCGCACTTTTTAGATTCCTTGGTGGTCCAAAATCTATAAGAGTAGGCTTCGGCCGCCACCCGGGCAAAATTCAAAATTTCCAACCAACTGAAAATGGTAGATGTGTCCCGCGCGCTCGTAACGTATGACCTTATACCTTAAGCAGATGCGAGTTCCACACTTAAAATTACCACCAAAAAATGTTGCGAGCGCTGGAAAACACTTACCTAAAAAAAAAAAATCTCTGACAGCGCCAAAACATTTTCTTTTTTAACTTTTACTTTACTTTTTAACTTTTTTCTTCCGCTTGTACCGGTGGGTGTCGCGGGGAGACACAGGCGTCTGTCTGCAGCAATTAGGCGAGGCGTGGCCTTATAGGAGGGACATCTTTTTTTAAACAATTCTCTAAAAAGAAGTCATACGTACTGTCATTTATTTTGCTTTCGCCCCCCGCCCTCTCCTCGATCTCGTCGACCTTGAATGTCCTGATTAATTATTACTTTACTCAATCTTTCTACTGCCTTATATAAAACGCCTACTACTGCTGCTCGGCTCCTTTGATCCTTTCACCTTTGATCTTAGGGAAGATAAAGAAAGATAACGCATATTGTCTTCTCAAATCAAGGGGAAAAATCTCGTAGGCCCTATTGGTCTGTATTGGGCAAGAGGCGCACATTTAAATCCTCTATTAGTGGTCCTTTGGGGGTAAAATTACCAATACCGAAAATACTGAGGCCTATAAAAAATACACAAGACTATATTATAATAATATTTTCGAAATCAGAATTTGTCTGCCTGAAGGAGTGTAAGAAAAACGTACGGTCACTAAGAAGAAGAAGAAGAAGAAGAAGAAGAAGAAGAAGAAGAAGAAGAAGAAGAAGGCCTATTATACCTTATCTTTGACAACAATTGAGCCACGAATTTTTGACCGCACTTTTAAAAAGTAAAAAGTACGCATGTTTTGAGAACAAAATAATGTGTTCACAACAAAATTAATTTATTGTAACAAGTTTTTGTCACTGAAAAGTGTCTTATTGGTGAGTTTTGACAACATACGTACTCAATAACAAGAATTAATATCATAGGCCTAATAATGCGTCAGCGATTTATTGAGCAATGCGTGTGAGACGTTTAGGATGTGCTGTGAATATGAACAATTCTATTTTTCGTATCGTTTGTTATTTATTGTCTCTCAACAGGCTTGGCCAACTTAAAATAACTTAGCTTCTACATACTATGTACTAAATCTATATTGGTTATCATATAACTCATAAAATCAATGTCATTGTCATGATTGCTATACTTATATTAGCCTACTAGTACTAGATCTATGACTCTTATAGACTATATTATTATGAGTCCTGAGTCTGAGGGTTTTTTTTAGCGTTCGTCGTTTTTCCGTTGTTTTAAGGTTCTAATTAATAAGCGATATTGTTTCATGGAACTATTTCAGACGGATAGTTTTCCCCCCTTTTTTATAGCTTTTTTCTTTCGATTTTTGAACCATTTCGAAACAACTGATTCCTCGACGAGGAAGCGAGCATGACAAGTAGCTGCTTGCTATAAGACAAGCCTACAGCGTTTCGCCTTGACAACAACGAAAATACTGGAAACAAAAATCTCTATATCATACACTTATGTTCATTGGCTTATTCTTTACTCTTAACCAATGAAAATTATGCTCACGTAGGAAAATGTTTCTTCATACCGGAAGTACTTTAAAAACAACTTCAACTTTTGTTTACGACACGAAATTTGTGCTCCTACCAATAACCAATTCACATGCTGAAGATTTCAACTTGAGAGTAATAGACAGGAACTTTTCTTGATATACTTAGCCTACTTCTTCGTTTCCCAAATTCTTTATTTTACGGTACGTATATAAGTGTATGTCATGTCCACTATCTTATTTAAGAGAAATACACAAAAAGACAGCGTTTACAACTCTACTGAATGATGAGTCACCCCAACTAACAAAAAAGCGTAATTTCTAATTCTATCATTCTAGGCTTACTAAACTTGCTCAACTATCTGATCTAGATAATCTACTACTACTCTAGATCTACCTACTAGGCTAGTTGTCTTTTACTTTTCCTCCCGTCTCACTCTTAGCTTTTAAATTAGAGCTGGAGGAAAATCGCCCAAGCCCAAGCTGAGATCATCATGTCTCCACAAAATTGCGCCAGCAGACAACATGCAAGTGGAAGACAAGACTGTTGCAGCAAACAACAATACTGACAGTAGTTTAACCCCTGAAGCACTTCAAGTAGTGTATCTGTGTGTGGGAGTGAGAAAGTAAAAATTTACCACTACTTCTTTGCGTTGATTGAATGTTTGTACACTCATTCTGATGATAGGTTGGCGGAAAACTTTGTAGCAAGTGACCGCTGTATGCAGGTTTTGAGATGGACTTATAAAAGTAGGTAGCGTAAACACGGCCTCGCGGGCACTCGCGGCCTTCCGACCGGGTGGTATCGGTGAAATCGGGGTAATTCCGATCGCTGTTTCTTTGCTCTTTCGCTATAAAACACCAAACGCCGTACACCTTGTAAAAGTTCAGCTTTTCCTCGTTACAATGGTGTAAGTTGCTTTTATGTCCGATTAGTAGGAGCTGGAGAATCGCCGACGAAAGCAAAGCCCCTCGCGGTGGGAATGCGTGGTCGGCCGGTTGAAAAATTGACATGGGTGCATTCAAATGTTTCGCGGAACGTAATATCGTCTTTTCATTGGCTAGCAATGCCCACCGAGCGCGTTTTGTTCTGCCGATTTTTGGCCCCCGCAGCGGGGGTGTTTCGTGGGACGCACTAACGCAAAGGTTGTTGTCTTCAACTCGCTCTCACGCCGCTTCTGGTGAATGGACATGAATGAAACTTGGCAGTCAATCAGAAAAGAGGTTAATCTCGTAGTATGCAGTTTGACAACATTGTACCCATCCTAGAAGCAGTCGAAAACGTTTGCGAAAGTGGTTGATGTTGTGCGCTTTGAAGGTTTTTCGGAGCTGTGATTTGTCAAACTGACTGATACGTTGTACACCATTTTTCTTTATTCCCTTAAAATTTCATGCTTCTGTGTTTAGCAGTTTTGGCGTAATCTTTAAAATTTTGGGAGTAACTAAGGGAAAAAGCGACATAGCCATTTGCGCGTGCTGGGTGAACGGCCGACCGCCTGGAAATTTCCACTGAGTGACGTCATCAGCCATCGGTCGCCTCGGGCGCTACAAACGAGGCCCCGCTTATGTGAAATGGAAAGGGGGGAAGGATACTTGAAAACTAAACGGGGGCCTTGATAACTTGCGTTTTTGTTGCATTTTAGTCACAATACAATAAGTGTAGTCATTTTTATTTGCTTGATTGCATGACAGAAGAATAGAAACAGAAAAGCAAACATCTTGAGAAGTGGTATGGCATTGTGTTTGCGTTATGAAAGCCTATTCCCCCCTCTGGGGAAAAGCACACACTTGGACTCGTCCTGTGTGCTCTGTTTGGAAAAGTGAGGCATTAAGATTGTTGTTATTAAAGAGTATGGTACTTATTTAGTCCAGTCTGGGAAGATAGTCCCGTTTATACATTGTTATCGTTCACACGTGCGTGCGTGAGTGCGCGCGCGTGCATGTGTGTGTGTGTGTGTGCAAGCGTGAGAGAGAGAGAGAGTGAGAGAGAGAAGGGGGAGGGGGGTGTAAATATGTTACATTTATTGTATGAGTTGTAGCCTACACATGCGAAATATTCCCATGACATGTAAACTATATTATCTGAACGCATCTTAATCTACCACACAATAGGACACTGTCCAACAATGGATATATACACAGAGACGATCTTATTTTCTATAACAAAGTATGCATGCTTTTACTAGTACAGAACTGGATTTATTAGTAGCTCTCTACTTACTTTTTTGTGACAAACATTATTGATCCAGAGCATTGCTTGGCAAGGAGGAACCTTTTATGTTGCCAAGTTTCATTCAAATATCATGACTTTGGGAGAACATATATGGATAATCTTTGTAAATCTGTAGAACGCCACTTTTTTACCTGTTAATGTCTTTATAACTCAAAAAGTATAGTAGTAGTATAAGGTTTTACGGCGCTCGCAACTGCTAAGGTCATATGAGCGCAAAAAGTATGACAGATATTAAAAATCTGACTACATGACTAGATTCTGCATTAAAAAATGTACTAGACTGCCAAGTTTCATTTACATATTCCAAGAAATAGGCGAGCTATGACAAATATTGTCTCAAAACGCACCGAAAACGGCCACATTTTTACCTATAAACGTCTTCATAACCCAAAAAATAGGATAGCTATGAAAAATCTGAAAGCAGGACTAGATTCTGCACTAGAAAATGTACTGGGTTGCCAAGTTTCTTTCAAATACTCCGAGAAATGAGCGAGTTTTGATGAATATTGTCTCAAAACTCACCAAAGAACGTCCCATATTTTGGGGTTTTTTCATTATATAAAAGTGTACCAGAAATTAATTGATTAAAAAATCCGTAACTTTTTTGTTTATTGATGGATTTCAAAAATTCCAAAAGTTCCATGCTCTGTGAAGATAAAGCTACAAAATGCACCTATTTGCAAACACTTTATGGCAAAAAAAAAGATTTTCGTGGTCATTGCTACATTGGCGGAGACCTGTAGAGCTTTAAACAGGCTTTCCCGTGGTATGTATTTGGCCTTTGGGGTTAAAATAGAAAGCTTTTAAAAATACTGTCAAAATGTTTAAAGATCACTTTTTACATATAATATGTAAAATACCGGCTTAAAAAAATATATTAAACAAAAGATCAGCTCATTTCCTATTAGAATAAAGTAATCAACTTGGAATTATTTTTCATCAATCCTTCCGCGAGACTCAGAAAGCATGTGACCCCACATGCGGGGTACACCACAGTATAGAGCCGACTCGCTCACCGCTGGGCCTGGTGTGGCGCCGGCGGGGTCAACACTCGGTGTTTTTGTCTAAATAATGACAGACCATCGTGTTTAAGGCGATAAAATACTGATTTGTAATGATCTCACAGTCTTGAAAAAAATTAGGCTCCATATATTTGTTATAGTGATTGTACTCTGTTAATGTGGAGATGTTTAGTGCTCTTGGTACTATTTTATTGTCTGTCAAACATGGGGTTGCAGCCAGTGACTGACTTTAACAAATTTGATCAAATTTTAAACAACTACCATTTTCTTAAAAATTGACTGAGAGGTTAAAGAATGGTACCAAAATGCTCAGTGGATATAATATATAGGCCTTTCAAATGGAACTGATAAATCTGGCATTCAGCTACTTTGAAAATTTAGTTTCTGGTACCTATTATAAGTTATAGTAGTAAGTTGCAGTGAAAATGACTGATCATGGCCGTGTTGGCAAGGGACCGTTATAGACAGGCTGAAAAATAAGTGTTTTTTATAGTGTACTGGAACAGGGGCCGCTGGTGCAGGTGACTGCTTATAGTAAGAGTTTAACGGCACTTGCAACGCAATATGTTAAGTGCCGAAGATTAGAGGTAAGAGTAAGAGAGTAACAAACACAAGAAGGAGAGATTATATAGACGATCTAGATGTTTGACAGGAAAAAAGGAGCAAACCACACTAGAACACCGGCCAACCACCCACCAGTACGACTAGTTAGAGAGGACTAGATCTAGAAGAGAAGCATTGGCAATAAAAAAAGCTGCACATATGATACAATTTTTGCCTGGCTACCTAGCAGTCATGGACATAGATTTCAATGCAGTAAGTCGTAGGGAAACCTGTGGAACCAACATCTTGTAGGTCAAGTCAAAACTAGCCCTAACAGTAGGCTTTACAGTATATTGTACAAGAAATGTGATCAGAGGCAATGGGTGAATCATCATGCTCTGGGCCTGGGGTGTGTGTGAGGAAAGTGTGCTTTTAATTCACAGCATCATGTGCTTTCGGTGTAGTATAATGTACCACTAAGGCACTTCGGTTCCCAACGTTAGTCTATCCTTAATCTTGGACACATTTGGTAATGGCAGCAAAGATAAGAAAATAACGGCTGTTCTTTGGAACAAAATTGTTCGCTTATAATACAAGGATGTTGAAAAAAGGCGAAAGAGTATTGTGGATTTTGTTGTGAGCACAACATTGCACCAAGCTCTCTGATAGACGATGATTTGACAACCGTTGCTGATTACCAGAAAGCAATTAGTAATCTGAAGAAGAAGAAAAATAAACGGCTCTGTAGTTTGAAAATGTTGGTAAAATACCTTTGGCGTTCTTGTGTTTTTACAAAATACAAAACATGAATTCTGCCTAAGCCCAACCCGATAGCTCAGGGATTTGTCAAGTAAGGGAGGTAACCACTCAAGTAAGCAATCATTTCCAGGCATCTTTGATTCTTTCCCTTTACTCTCACACTGTGACAAGTTCTGAATAGATGTGTCCCTTATCGTTTTATCTATTTTAAAAAATTGCTCAAATTCATCACTTTCTCTTATCAATGGACATTTGGATTGAAGATAATTCAGATAATTCCATGAAAGCAGGTAGATTGTGTGGAATTTCTCTCCCCCTTTTGTGTCTCTTATCTTAAGACTCGAAATAGAGTCATTTATATTATATTTTGATTGTAGGCCTTATTAGATTTAGACTCTTTTACTAGTAGCGAACTAATTTTCGCTACTGTTTGGTCATGAATCAATTTTTCTAAGCATAGTCCAGTATTTTTGTGTAGTGGTGGGAAGATATGACTATCGTAAGCATTTTTGATCAAAGTAAAGACAAGGATGTCAGTTGTGAATTGGTCATGGTGACGATACAAAGGTAAGTAACTATTGGTGCCTCAAAATGCATGCTCATATAAGTGGTTGCTTCCCTTTGCATAGCACCTCAACGATAGGGTTGTTTATAAGTTTCTCATATAACTCGGGTCTGTGGTAAGGCGGTTAGGGGCTTCGCTGTCGCATGCAGGAAACTTGAGTTTGATTCCTGAGTGGGGAGAATTTTTTATAAAATATCTCTCCGTCTTTCTGTTGTGATGTTGTATCCCTCTCAGCTTGGGTAGGCCTTAATAAGTAGGAAATTGTGTCAAAAATGCCTGCATTACAATTTTTTTTTTTTTAAGCAATGAAATTGTGAGGTAAAGGCTTTGGTCTCCATATATGATTCTGGTATTATAACATAGTTGACGATGAATTTCAAGCTTCTTTTCATTGTTTTTTCTGTTGATGTATACAGTGGAACTCGGATTCAACGAGCTTGGATTCAACGAGAACTCGGATTCCACGAGAGGAGATAGATTCCCCGGTTTTTTTTTTCTTCTTTAAAACCAATAAAAATAACCCGGATTCAACTAGCACATAAGCACTTATATCAGCGAGCTCGGATTCAACTAGGTCGCTTCCCCGCTTATTTTTCTCCCAGAACGAACTTTATCTATTCCCGAAAACCATCGTTTGCACCTGCATCGTGAACTATTGTTCACTTAACCGATTGAATTCGACCAATCAGCAGCCTTTTTTCATACCAACACATGCGTTGTTGGCTCACACACATGTGTATACTCTGGCGTGTGTCGGGGTCCAATGGGTGGCCTGCACACGTGTGACTGTGTCGGGGAAGGGGGGGAGGCACCAGCGGTCCGGGCGTTGAACGTCGCAGAGATACAAATGCGTCACACAGTCTTTTTTTCCACTCAGCAACTGATCATTATTATATAAGCTAGTATTGACGTAGATCTATGTAATGAATTGAGCGTTGGTCTATGGAATCAAAAGTCACCATGTGCTAGGCTCTACACAGCAACACAACTTTTTGGCAAACAATCGAGATGACACAGGCCTGCATTTGAATGAATTGGTCTTTTTTTTACACAGCTCATAATATGCAAGCATTTCAGGCACTACCTGTTACTTCTCTTTACACGTTATAAATGTGCTCAGTGCCTGTTATAATCTACACAAAACCTCATGTTTGCTACATGTATAACGAACACTCGGATTCAGCGAGGTTTTAAGTCAGGCCGGGCGACCTCGTTGAATCCGAGTTCCACTGTAATAATATACAGTGCAGGCTACTTAAACAGAAATCTGTGTGACTTCCCTGTTTTCTTCAGTTTGGTTTAGCGGAGTTTTAGGTTTAGAGAGGTTGTAGATGGTAGCTGTGTAAGCTTGTGTCACTATTTGATTTTTTCTTTCTTTTTTTTTTTATTGGTCACCAGAAAAGAAGAAAGCTCAATGATGGCCAACCCACTGGAGAACCACTTGCTACAGGCAACACAAGTTATCGAGAATCAGCTCGATGCCGAAATTGAACGGCTAGAAAAAATGGACGACGACGATTTTGAAGTCCTGAGAAAGCGTCGTTTGGATGCCATGAAGAAGGCTCAGCAGCAGAAACAGGAGTGGCTGGCGGCTGGCCATGGTGAGTACAGCGAGGTGGCGGACGAGAAGGAATTTTTCGAGGCTTGCAAGAAGAGCAAGAAAGTGGTGTGTCACTTCTACAGAGACAGCACCTTCCGGTGCAAAATCATCGACAAGCACCTGACGGAAATCGCCCGGAAGCATATGGAGACCAGGTTCATCAAAATCAACGCGGAGAGAAGTCAGTTTTTGGTGGAGAGGCTGCGCGTGAAGACCTTGCCCACCATCTGCCTTGCCAAAGACGGGAAAACTGTGGACTACATCGTGGGCTTTGACGATCTGGGCGGAGCGGACGACTTCCCGACGGCCATGTTGGAGTGGCGTCTGGGTCGCGGCGACATGCTCAACTACCAGGGGGACCTGCTGGAGCCACCCACCACGGGGCAGGTGGCCAAGAAGGGGAACAAAATCTTTGGCAAACCCTCCAAGACAAAGACCATCCGCGATGACGGGGACACAGACAGTGACGATGACGACTGGTAGTTTATTTGTTTTTTTGTTTTTTTTTACCTTACAAAGATGAATTTGTATAGGCATACAATCTAGCATGCACATACAATACTTTGTGAAATTTGTAGGGCGCAGATATCTTTTCATTCCGTATGAATTTCAGTATGTACATGTTTTAAATACAAAGATTATATGTTCATGTATTTATGAAAAACAATTGGGAACCTGAAAATCTGTTCCATGTACAGTAGCGAATTCGTCGGGACTGGCCTCGGTAGTTTGAGGGATCCGTAGTTCAAGGTATATCTTACAAAGAGAAAGAATTTTAAAAAAAACTGGACTGCAGGCACAGCTCGAGGGATGCGTGAATAAGTTTTCTGTATTCGACCTTTCCGTGTTATACTATGCACGTTTTGCTATGTGCATGCTAGACTGTAGTTCGTTCTTGTCTCTGTTATGCCAGGCTTTTGCGTAACGGTCCCTCTGATATTCTTTTCGTGGATGAATGTTGCATTTCAGATGCTTCGAGCTTGTGATCAACATAGACAAGTAAAAAGTAGTGAGGAGAAATCCCAGAATGAATGAATATTTTTGCAAGAGTCAGGGGAGGCCATTTGTTTTTTGCTTTTTTCAGTTCCACCTTTGGTGACTATTTCAGTGTCAAAAAGTTACTCAAATAACCTGAAAGTTGTGAAAGCACTTGTGTTGTTCTCATTGAGGTGAAAAAAGGACTTCGAATTGGCTGAGTCAGGTTGCGTGATGGTTCATTTTCACTATTTAGTCTCTAAAGACTTGAATTTTTCTTCCAAGTCAGGGAGTTCAACCATTTTTGTTTGTGCTATGGGAAAGTGGGG